GGAAGAGATGGAGCTTGAATGGACCGGCGACGGAGAAACAAGGGCGAGAGGCATGGGCAGGCGCGGGGGACCAAACGGATCTATCTATGGAGATCAAATGCATACTACAATATGGTCAAGCGCCTGCTTAGACCCCCCCCCGCCCCCCCCCTCCCCCCGCCGCCCCCCGCCCCTCGTCCCCAACCCACGCCGCCGCACGCGCGCGCGTGGTGAGAGAGGGAGAGGTGGATGGGGGAGAGGGCAAGAGAGCGAGGGGGGTGTCGGAGGAAGGTGAACCATTGCCCAAGCTTATGGTTAGACTCGGCACCGGTGGGGAGGCGAGGGAAAGAGCGAGAGAGAGAGAGAGAGCGAGAGATAGGAGGGAAGAGAGAGAGAGAGAGAGGGTGAGAGAGAGAGAGGGAGAGAGGGAGAGAGGGAGAGAGAGAGAGAGAGAAACCGAGGAGAGATAGACACGGAAACAGAGACAGAGAGAGAGGGAGACCACGCAACAATGCGAATACCAGTGCGGGGGCAGCCGAGTCGGCGACTAATGCACGCGCGCACCCGCCGCGTGCACGAACGCAGCCAAGGCGTACGTAACGCAGGGCGTCCCTGCAATGGCGCGCGCGCGCCTCGACATGCAGACCGGCGCGGACTCGGAAAGGCGACCCGATGCCGTGCGCCACCTTCCCGACCTCTCGTGGCATCCCGGCTCGGCCTCTGCTCCTGGCCTCGCTTTCCCGCCCTTGGCGCAGAGCCTGGAAGCGCGTGCGCCCCTGGACGAGCACTCCTCCCGCTCCTCCTCCTCCTCCTCCTCCTCCTTCTCCTCCTCCTCCTCCTCCTCCTCCTCCTTCTCCTCCTCCTCCTCCTCCTGCTCCTGCTCCTCCTCCTGCTCCTCCTCCTCCTGCTCCTGCTCCTCCTCCTCCTCCTCCCTCTCCTCCTCCCCCTCCTCCTCCTCCTCCTGCTCCTCCTCCTCCTGTTCCTGCTCCTGCTCCTGCTCCTCCTCCTCCTCCTCCTCCTCCTGCTCCTCCTCCTCCTCCACGTCGCCGCGACCCTCTCGGTGGGGAAGGGTTTCAGGCTGAGTTTGAAGCCCGTCGGCAAGTCCTTCTCAGTGACAGGCCCAGTCTTCTGCTTCTTCTGCTTCTTCTGCTTCTTCTGCTCCGGGGCTGCGGGCTCGCCCGAGGCGGGGCGCTCCCTCTCCACTGCGACGGGGGCCGCTGCGGCTCGCACTGTGACGGTCGTGCTCTGGCCTGCCGCCCTCTTCTCACCCTGCCTGGCTGCCCTGCCGCGCAAGCGCGCAAGCGGCAGCATCCCCGCCTGGCTCGCTCAAACCGCCACGGGCTTCGTCGGCGCGTGCGCCACCCTCGGCCTTGCCCCCAGCGGCGGGCCTGGGCATTGGGAAGACTCCGTGGGCCGTGGCGGAGTGGCCAATCCTGCGCGACAGCGGGCCCGTCGCCAGCAGGAGGGCCGGAGCGGCCGCCCGTGGGTGCAACCACCTGCAAGGCGGACGGCACTGCAGCGCCCTCGAGCGGGCGGCAGCTCACAGTCGTACCGAAGCCCAACATCTGTTGGAGCATCGACGGTGGAGTCGCTCCGTCATGAGAGCGTCTCGTGAGCTGAATCACGCTGGCGCCGATCTGCTTACAAGTTCAGCATCGGGGCATCCTTCCTGAGAAAGGCCAGCTGCGAGGGCGATGCTGCGTCCGAGCACGCAAGCTTACAGGCAGACGAGCTCTTTCGGAAAGTCCCGGATGTCGGCCCAGGGTGCTCCTGCATCGACGGCTCCGCATGGAGGCTGCACGCGCTTGTAGGCAGCCGTCGGGAGATCCATCGGCGACGACGGGAGCTCAGCGGCGTGGTCAAACGGAACCTTGACACTGGCCAGCGGGCCGAGTGCCTTTTTCATTTGACCCAGGTGTTGGAACCATGCGGCCCCCTTCTCCGGCGGCAGCCCGCTGGCCGCCTGGATGCGCTCCAAGCTGTGGCCCTTCGTCTTCTCTGTCGGCAGGAGAAGCCCGATCGACCGGCACCTCTTCACGCGGCGATGTTCGACGACCAAGGCGCTGCGCTGTCCCCGCGGACCTCGTACTCGCCCTCAGCCGGGCACACACTGAAGCACCCACACCTCTGCTTCGACCGCTCGGCATGCCGGCATCGTGGCGGATGCGCACGCCCGGGCATCACTCACCAGCTCTGCCGTCGTAGCCGTGGCGTCGGCGCCCCACCCCGGGCCCCGCACGGCCGTGCACAGCCCAGCGGCGCTCTTCACCGTCGCAGTCCTGGAGGGTGCTGACCTGGGGGGGGGGGGCGGCAGAGGGCCGGAGGGGGAACAGGCTGAGGGGCCTGCTGTCCACCACCACCACCACGAGTTGGAGGGGGAAGGAGGTGGAGGACGAGGAGCAGGACGAAGAGGAGGAGGAGGATGAGGAGGAGGAGGAGGAGGAGGACGAGGAGGAGGAGGAGGAGGAGGAGGAGGAGGAGGGAGGAGCGAAGAAGAGGAGGAGGAGGTGGAGGAGAAGGA